CTCTCCCTCTCTCTCACTATGTAATTGATGCCAGTCTGTTGCCCTTTCGCCTCCTGTGCCAGCGGGCAGAGGGCTACCATAGAGGCGTCCACTTCACCCCTAAAAAACAACCTTGCCTCACCTTCACACACATGCACACAACCACAAATACACACAAACACTTTTACTGTATTTAGTGCACATGCATGCAAGAAAACCACAAATGTAGAGCCTCCAGAAAAATGCAAAAAATGTCCTTCTATGCTGAGTCTAACACATAGCATATGCACATGCACACACATGCGAGTCTGTCTCATAATCTGTCTCTGTCACTCCCGGTGGGACGGAGGGAAAAGGATTGGGATAACTGGTCTGGTGTGTGGGGCAATTTTAGCCCTTGACCAAAAAGCAGGAGTTACTTTAAAATAATTTTGTCGCTTTACATAAAATTAATCTGTTCTTTATTCTTCTCTTTTTTCTCTTACAGAAACTATACTACTTTTTTTGCATTTATTGTGCAGCCTGTTAGAGTGACAATACAGTAATTCCTACTTCAAATACTGAAATATACTAAAAATACTATTTAGCTTTAATTCAAAAAGAGGAAAAGTCAGAAGAGCCAGTACGTTTTTGGTTCAATTTGGTTAAAAATAAATGACTTTTTAATCCAACTTTAAGCCACATTTTTACACTATTCGGTCATATTTTTGGCATCTTTAACTACATATTTGGCAAACCTTTGAAGTGGAAATAATGAAAGAGAAAGCAGAGCCGGCAGTAGAGGCAGACCAAGGACAGAGAAGCCAAAATCAGAAGGAGGACAGAGACAGACCAAATCAGTCTAAAATAGAGTGATAGGGCATGTGCACATGCACCAATGCACGAAAGAAAGACAAAGATAGCAAGACTGTGGTGGTATCGGATCATTCGGTGCACATTAGTCGCCTTCTGCAAGACCAGACCAGTCCATATACAGACATGGAAACAGGCCACAGAGTCTTCCAGTGTAATTGTGCATGAAAACATTCATTAAGCTTATTATGGCATTCAGTAGAAGTTTTAGCAGCCGCACCGTCGGAGGGGAGAGTAGTGAAGCAGATGAGCTGTCAGGGTCTAGAGAACAAATTGTAGATTAGATAGCAACAACTCTCTCCAATAAATATATAGATGGATGTGTGTGTGTCTTTTAATCTTGACTTGACCTTAACTCACTATGACACTCGGGCGCTAACCCACTTATCCATTTATTTTACAACTTTGTGTCTCTTTTCTCTTCTCTGTCTTAGCAACAGGTAAGAGCCCTCTGAAAGAATCAACCAGTCGTTCCTGTGTATGTGCATGCGGTGCTGTGTGTATGTGGGGGCAGTACGTACATCACTGGTGTGTTCATGTGTGAAATGGTAAGAGAAAGAAAAAGAGTGTCTGTACGTGTGCGAGTGTTAAACATTCATGCTGCCGTGTTGGGTCGTGATGGGACCGGTGTGACTGGCTGTCCCTGCCACTGCCTCATCCGATAATGCTGATTTGCCCCTCTGGGGGTCCTTCAGGCACCCAGTCAATCACTAGTACTCCAAAAGATAGTACTCCAAAGCTATTTAAATCGCAAGCTCCCTTACTTTCCCCTTCTTTCAATCTTTTACTTATTATTTTTTGCATCATCAATGCATGCAAAGCGTCACGAGTTGACGCTTTAATCCAAAGAGACTTACAATAAGTGCAATGGATAAGAATGCAAAACAGCAAGAATCCTGCAAGTACAATTGCTTCTCAAAAGCCAAAATATGCGCCTCTTGATGATCATTTGCAGTCTTAATGTAGCATCCCATTGTCTGGTCTTAGATAGAACAAAAAGACGCCATGCAGCCCATTATTTTCCCTACCCAACCGCTCAGTTCAAGTTGTCAAATGCCTCATATTGTCGTCATGCAATCAGAGTAAGAGAGGCTCTTCAGATGTATAAAAAACCCAGAAGAGAACAATTTATGTTAATTACATGGAGATCATCAGAGCCAGTAACACCAATATCTCTAGGAGAACAGGCAATTTTCTTACATACAAGAAGACCTACCAAGAAATTAATACTACAGAAATGTACAGCAAAGTGATTCCCACAGTAAACTGACTTGGTAACCATCACTTAACAACACTGCGCCACCTCCCTCACTTTGCCCATCTCCTCTCCTCTCTCAGTCCCTCCCTCCCCGAGGCTACCTTTTCCTCTGCCATTCTCGACATCGTTACCATAATCAGATAAGACAACTACCTAGGGAGCACCAGCCTCCCTACAGCACCTTGCTCCTGGCACCGTGTGTGTACATGCGTGCGTGTGTGTGTGTCAGTGTGTGAGAAATGCTCCTGGCACTTGGAAACCCGTATTCCTTTTGACTGTCTTTTTTGGCGTTTTGATCTTTTCAAACCGACAGATGACTGGTGTGTGTGCTCAGTGTGTGTGTGTGTGTGTGTGTGTACTGTATGAGTGCAGGAAAGGTTTCTAAATTACCCAGCTCCTTCATAGGGTAATGTCTGTATTGTGGCTGACAAGTCTGCTACAAATTACCGCTGAACTGTGAGTGTGTATCTGTGAGTATTAATGAGTGAGCGAGTAGATAAGTGTGTGTGTGTGTGTGTGTGTGTGCATGCACGAATATGGAAGTATGAGAATGATGTTTGAGTGTCAAGGATGATTATGTTATTCTTCTGAATGGTCAAAACAGATCACATCACGATACCATTAAGTGAAAAGCCCGACCAATTCACAAGAACACACACACACACACACACACACACACATCACACACACACACACACACACACACACACACACACACACACACACACACACACACACACACACACACACACACACACACACACAGCACACACACACACACACACACACACCACACACACACACACACACACACACACACACACACACACACACACACACACACACACACACACACACACACACCACACACACACACACACACACACACACACACACACACACCACACACACACACACACACACACACACACACACACACACACACACACACACACACACACCACACACACACACACACACACACACACACACACACACACACACACACACACACACACACACACACACACACACACACACACACACACACACAGCACACACACACACACACACACACACACACACACACACCAAAGCCATAACAATGCAACATACCTATAGCAAAATACCTCGAAGCCTTACATCTTTCCGTGCCTACAGTACTTGGACAAGTATAACCCACATAGATACTGTAAATATATATAAAAAAACAGATCCCTTAAGGGTATGCATGCATACTGTACACACACACACACACATACACAGTTGTTAGCAAATGAGCCATAAACAACCCTACATTTAGCCGACAACACACTGGACTGCCCAAGCGCCGCTCAGCCAGACGCTAAACTAAACTGTCAAGTTGGATTTTCTGGCTGCTCACAATCCTTTTAAGTTCTGCTCCACATATATAATTTCCTCAGTTCTGGCTTAGCCCTCTAGCCTTAATTGTGCTTTGAATCAAACTGACGTAGATATTTCTTTATATACCTCCATTTAGCACCGCTGAATCAGAAAAAGTATGTATTTCTATCTACAGTATTAGTCAGACAATTTTTTTGTCAATACATCAATACTTTTAATTTAATATTTGTTTAATATTTTGTGTTTTGTTGTAGTTTGACATTTTGGGAAATTTGCTTCTATTCTTTATTGAAAGAAATTAGAAAAAAATTATATCATTTTCATCTCTGTTTTGACTTTTAATTTACCACATTTAATTTCTGCAAACAAGTCTTTTGCATGACCGGAGAGCAGTTTGTTTGTTTAATTTTTGTTTCACCTTTTAGGACATGGATTCACTTTGAGAATGCATGATATAAAATGAGATCATTAGGGATATATAATGTCCTTATAGTTTGACATATTAATGTGTGCTAAGGCACAATGAGCACAAGAGAGGGGCAATAAAATAGGATAACAAAATGTAATGTGAAAATTCTGTAAAGCCTGTTAAAATGCATGCCAGGTCAAATAAAAACTGGGCCCCAAGTGACCTTAATAAAAAGTAGACAAACAAACAACGTAACAACTTAAGTAACATACACATACAGTGATTAGGCTGTCATGGTGACCATGATTTGTCAAGTACCACGATGTTATTCAGAGAAAGAGACTCAAGTGGAATAAACTGTTAAATTATACTCTATAACAAACCAGAAACACACACAGACACACACACACACTATCTATCTAGAAAATATATTCTCCATGAAACCAAACAAATGTTATCTGTAAATAGAGATTTAAATGTAAACTAGTATTTTATTTTGAGATTCTAAAACTGAACTCATCAAATAAATAAATAATGTACCATGTTAACTGTGTTATCAACAAAAACACATACAAAACTAATCCAAGCAACTCAATTAAACAACCAAACATTTAGTAAACAATCAATTTCAAAAATAACCACAGACCAAAATAGATTCTTAAAAAATAATAACTTCCAGGGGTATTTAAGTTAGTTTTCCATAAAATACATAGATGTTTTTATAATTGAAAGTGTGTGGTCTTGCCTGTCAGCATGTGTGTGTCTGTCAGATTTTGTGTGTGCCCCTGGCCCCAGCAGCTGTGCCAAAGCAGATGTTTGCCAGTGTAATTACCACAAGCTCGCATAGAGGAAGAGAAAAAAATGGACACAGAATGAAAGAGAAACACAGACAAAGAAGAAATGATAGATACATGTCCGTGATGCAAAGAACATTCAGCTTTCACAACGCTTGTGAAACAGTTAAAGGCAAACCTGATGGTTCTTCTAAGGTAGCTTCATTGACAAATTCTCCTTTAGATGCACAACACAACAGCTCATGGTCCCAAGCCTCTCATATTGACAGACTATGGCATGTTTAACAGCCCAGTTGTCTCCTATGCCCCTATAGGAATCCCAAAAACCCTCCAGATGTGTTACCTGTAGAACAAGGTGTGTCCATCTCTCCGGTGTGAGCCTGCCCTCGGTTCTGAAGCTGGCGGTCAGAGGAGTCTGACTGCTGGACTGGCCATAGTGCAGGTTGACCGCCTGCTCGGACACCGTCACAGAAAAAAACATCCGCTCCCTTGAGCTCTTCTCCAGCAGCATCCTGAAGGAGACAAAAACACACATACATTTTAAGAAACACAATAATTTCAGCAGCAATAGACAGTCTATTTGAATATCTGTCAGTGATAAATTGTTCTAACTAAATTCAAAAGGTAAAGACAGGGAAAAGTGGAATCTAAAACTCATGGAGTCGAGAGCCACCGCACAGTTTCACACACAGTCTCTCATTCTGACATTTACATTGGAATATCAATATTTTACATGACTGCTAGGTTTGAGCTGCTACACTGGGTGCAGACACACACCCTCCACGTGTCATATTAACCACCATCGCTGACATTTTATGGGAAATCATGACTTTTATGAACCAAGAGCCACATACCCTATAAATCAAGGATAAATGTATGCATGGGGGAAAAAAAGAGACCATATGTATGTATGTCTGCACATGCATGAGTGTGAATATGTGCCTGTAGGTAGGGATAAAGAGATATTAAGAAGGACAGAGATAATGAGTGCAAGAAAAAATTGAATACAAGTTGATGACTTACTAAAACACTGAAGTTCTGGACTAAATTGTTTTTGAGCTTTCATATTCACATAAAAGTGCCGATCAACTAAGCATTGTTGTTGTTGACATATCTTAAAGTGCACCTATCATGCTATTTTTAGGCAATAGCATAGGTCTCAGATATATAAAAATATATAAAAAATGATTTGATTTGATTTGATTTGATATAAAAAACATGTCTATGAAGTGTTTTGCTCAAAATACCAAACAGATCACCCATTCTAGCCATGCCTCATATCCCTCAATTTCACTTCCTGTTTCAAAAGGGCTGATTCTGGGTATAAAGCTATAAAAAAAATAAAGAATTGATAAAAAATAAAAAAGGAGGGGGCTGAGCTCATGCGGGACCCGGCAGCTACTATCTAAACTAAATACTGCCGTGATGAAACGCCATATCATGGATTATCAAGGATTATTTCTGAAACAGTATGGAGCTCAAAGGCTTTCTCTCTTGCCGGTTATACCACAAGGTGAGTTCCTTTTTATTTCCTGCTTCTTCACACACATGCTCTCCAGTACAGGTTAGCTCTGAGTGTTAGCGATGCTAATGTAAACACCGACCATATTACGTCCAAAACAGTCGGGCATTGTTTCTGATAGCAACTTTCTGATAGTGCCGTGGGTCCACATTTCTGATATTACGTCATATCGGACGCAAATCTGGATCAGCTCCGTTGTACCCCCGTTTTTAGAGATTTGGGTACGGAGGAAAAGAGAGAGGGTTTTATTTTCTGACGCTGCGTGAGTTCCCTGACACACCGGGGACACATATTTATGTATAAAAGACATCAAAAAGTGCATTTTGCATAATAAGTCCCCTTTAAGTTTTTGTTTTGACACAAACCCAAGAATGTACATTTCTCCACCAAAGAAAACGAGCAAAACAGATATTTTAGAAGCTTGAACCAGCAAACTTTTGGCATCCTTGCTTAAAAAATGTATGCTTACTTGATCCATTGTAAAAATTATTCAAGCAGAAAAAGTAGTCATTATGTTGCCAGGGCAATTTAATGTGATAGTTAGGCAAAATACACATTGTTAAACACTGTTTTCAAATAAACTATGATAATTATGATATGTACTTGTACTTCATCCACATGTTCTCCATATAGAAAAGTCAACTGCATGTACTCAGAATAATTCACGATTTAAAATGAGTACCCTCAAAAAATATTGGTGTAACCTTATGGAAGTGTAGCCATGGTGAAGTAAAAACTATATTTGTAAGCACAGGTGGCTGGCTCTGTTCATTGTTCAGATGAGGAGAGGGATGTGAAATCACAGAGAGGGAGAGACAAAGAGAGAGGGGTGAGGAGAGATGGACAGAGGTGAGGATAGAGACCTCCTTTCATCTGGCTTCTTTGATGGCAGCCATGATCGTCTCTACAACAAAAGACTGATGGCCAACGACAGCTACAGAAAGAGAGAGAGAGAGTGCGAGGGGGGAGATATTCCTCCATTCAGATGCATTCAGGTGCATAAAGGTGTCATGTTCAGCAAACCAAGACAACAAGACCAGTCTGTCATCTGAATCCCTACAGACAACTTCACAAACAAAATCCCAGCATGAATTTAAAAGGAGGGATTTATCTCTGTCTGAATCTCCTTCTCAGAGTTAAATCTAACTGAGGCCAACATTTAAACTGAACATTCAGTGAGTTATTAGAATACACGCCAAACCTGTTTAGCGTTGCTTTAGGTCTTTTTTCAGAACTGTCACTACTGCAAAGCTTTCAGTGACGTTAATCTTTGCAGCACATCATGGAACATGTGAATGCTGCAGGCTTTATATACGTTGTCTAACCATTTCTGATTATATTAAGAGAAAGCCTGGGTAATTTTAGTTCATCATTTTTATAACAACAGCCACATTAATTATACTGATTTTACACATTCAAGTCTGTTTCAAGTCTTGTGGAGTAGTACTGCAAATACTTAACTGTGTAAACTGTCAACGATCGAGTTGCATTGTGGGTAATGTAGGTCCCAGGTTTCATTAAGGGATGCATACAATTAAAAAATATTAAAGCAATCTGAGTCCATTTTGATCCTTTTACTTTTTAAGTGTCCATTGTGAGTCTAACAATGTTATTGGAGTCCAGTTTTATAATTGGTGAAGGACTCTTTTGCTAGTCACATTTTCAAATAGTAAACCAGGAAATATAAACTAAGACGTCATGTATGTTTAGCTTATTTTAAGTTTCATGACAAAGCATCCCATGTTGTTTGCACAATCTACTTTAAATGTAAGTGTTGCTGTGTGCTGGAGGCGGATATGAGCTTGCCAAGTAAAGCCAACTGATCCCTTGTTGTGCGTGCAGTGCTTTGTGTTTGTGTGTGACTGCAAGCTGATCTGAGTGTGTGTAACTCTGCACCATCGGAGTCCTACCTGCAACATACCAGCACACTTTCATCCCCTGTCTCTCACACACAACATGTCTAAGTAGGACATGACAGATAGTGGTTAGTCAACATCTCCGGAAAGTGATACTGACCTGACCCGATTGCTCCTTGTGTTTGGATCAATATCACAGGACTTTCACTTCAATGCACTTTTTAAGTTTGGAAGCCATATAAGATCATATATCAGAACAGACATTTGACTATACATCACACCTACATCAGCAGAAAGCTATAATTTATCAGTCGAAGGATACGTTTGAGTTCTTACGGTGCAATAGTAATTGTGATTTATACTTGCAACACACAAGTGTTATTATTTATCTTTCACTAATGTTTCAAGGATTTAAATATACTATATCCTCATACCAATAACGACTTAAAACGACTGAATCTGATCCCTGCATTGTTTTTTATCTATTTGATCTTTTCATTACTTAATCTTCACCCATAAAGCACAATTTCTACAAGAAGTATAACTTATTGATTAACTTACTGATTGAAATGCAATGTGAGATTGTTTCTAAACAGCCTCTAACAAACATGATGTTACTGTTAGTGTAGCTCTTAGTGGCTGGGCCAAATGAAACTGCAAATCCAGACTTTTTCAAAAAGAACAGAATATATCTATTGGTTTTCTATAATACTTATCCATGGCTAATATGGAATTTCACAACATGTTTGAAAGAATCACATGTCATGGTAAGTAAAACTAGGTAACGTTCATCAAAATCTGGTTTCAATGTACTGCTGTTAAATATCTTGACTTTTCTTCTTTGCACAAAATGAAATATATATATTATTTAGGGAAACAGCAAATGTACTTCTGCTTGTTTTGAGTTTGATGGACTGTCCAGAGAGAAATAGTTAGTTTAGATCCATCCATCCAAAAAGGAAATACATATTTTGTATTGCCAAGTACAATTTGTGTGTACTGTAACATGACATTGGTAATCTATCGATTCAAAAATCATCAGCAGTAAATTATTTATTATATTAAAAGAAACGCTCATACAGTATATCCAACTATGCAACAAAGAGATAAATGTGATTTCTTATAAATTACAAAAAGTAACTCACATCTCTCCAGAAGAGCTTGGTTTGATCCACAATGCCAGGGCGAGAGAACCCAAGGCTCCTAGTTTCTGTGAGGGGGGGGGACACCAGACATCCATCCTGGACGGGCCGAAACAGCACAGAACTGGATCCACCAGGAACTCCCTCTGAACTGTTATTGGTTCTGTTCTCCGTCTCTGTCCCGGGGCGAGTGTCATTACTGTCTTGAGTCACACAGGAACCCCTGGAAAATAAAAATGTCATGTCTATAATCTTTTATTTATTTTTATTTTGCATGAACTGAAAGGTGGGAGGACATTTAAAACACCTTGATAGAAGTACTATGAATTTGATCTATCTACCTGTGTGCAGGCAGTAGCAGCGGGGCATACGGAGGTGTGGAGGATCTGTAGGGACAGTCCTGGACACAGAAGGCCTGATAACAGGTCGTCAGCTCAGGCTGGGAGGACGGCGTCTGACAGTAGCTGCTCCGCTCTGGAACTCCACAGGTGGAGCGGGGCGGAGAGGTGGACACGGGTTTAAAGGCAGCAAGGTTCTCCATACGTGGGAAATGACCCTAAGAAGCAAGACCATTTAAAAATGTGTATCATTCCATTCAAGCTAAGTCTCTTTTACTTACAGTATTTGTGAAGGCATTAAATGACCTGCAATACAAGGCATTTTAGCAATTTAGAGAATGAACATGAAGCCTATGGACTATGATAACATCATGATATAGCATAACACATCTTACAGGCAAATATCTTACCGTAACACATACTGTATGTACACAGTGCTATGAAAAAGGCCTTTTTGTTGGTCATCAAATAATAAATACAGTGTTAACAATTAGTATTCCAGTTTTTGATCATACATTTCAATTGGCTCTTGCAAGCTTACCTGTGATGAAGCAGGTTTTGGACACAGGCTGAAGAGGAGGACAGTAAACCAGAGGAAGATATTATGCCATATTATCCTTTTCATGGTGGCTTTTCCTCTTTCTGTGATGTTTTTCAGGTAAAATGGCCAAGAAAAACCACACCACCTCTTCGTTTCCCCCAACCTTTTTTCCACTTGCATTATTTCAGTTTTTCTGGTTAACATAACATGAGGAATACCCGACGCATTTGTCCCGTTTCTGTCCTCTCCTTCGATGTATTTTCCTCCAACTTCCTTGATGCATTTGTTCCTCTTAAAGTCAAACTGCTCATCTCTCCTTCTTCTCCCCATCCTCTCTCGGCTGACTCCTATGCGCCATGTTTGTCTCTTCCTTTTTGCCTTCTCTCCCGCCACTCCTCCCTCGTTGTCTCTCTGATCTATCCATCTCTGGCCTTTGACCCCACAATATTCTGGAGTGGGGTTCTCCAAGGGGTCCAGCATAGTCCGAGGTTCTCCAATCTTGGACAGGGTTTCTGGAACATTCCCCAGGGCAGAGGGATGTTCCAGAACTTGGATTTTTTTCGGAAACCTTCCAGCAGCGCTTGAATAAGTGATGACTGTCATGGTTTCATGGTTCCAGGGTTACAGGGACATTTTTTTTACAGGCCAGTGCCCCTAGGGTGAGGCTACGAAGCTTAGCTCTCTGTTACACTGTCTCTGTCCCTCCCTCGCTCACACACACCCACACCCCACACACAAACCACAACCAAAGCCTTCACATGATAGGTACGATTTCACAATCTAGAGAGGGAAAGGAGAGAAGGAGAGAAGGAAAGAGAGACGTGGTCAGACCAAAATCCAACATGAGACAAATCTGAGGAGAGTGAAATGCCATGCAGGCTATTCCCTAGCCAAAGCCTACACTATCATGTACAGCTTGATGGAGGCACAGCTCAACTGATACTGCTACATTGCTTTCCTCTTTTCTTCATTTTCCATTGAATTAAACATGCCTTTTTTTCCTCTAGCATCTGGCCTCCAGGTTTTTATCCAACTGAACGGGTTTTCACATAAGTTTGTTGGAAATTGAGGCTTATGCCAAAGCTCTCTTCATTACAATACTTATCAGCTTCAATTTCACATTTTGACACACAAAAAGAGGCCAGCAGTGAAGTCATCTCTAGTGTTGAATTACTTAGACCCTTCTGCCTGTCCGTTGGAAAATAAGAAAGCACCTCTTGTATCTAATAATAACAGGGGCTACAGCCGTACAAATGTGTAAATATATGCAGATATTGTGATATGCATACGTAGTGGCTCCTGGTGGTTACCTGTCGGACTCGGTGGAGCTTCCCAGCAGCACAGAGCTCTATTCCCATCACAGCGTCAACAAACAACTTGTTGCTCATGGTGCAAAACAAGCTAACTACCTGTTTCTCTACACACCTGTCTGTCAGCGATAGCAGACGCCGCTCCAGTAGAAAAAATAGTCCTTTCCCAACATGATTTGAGTTATTTGGTCCGTTGTTCAATCCCACTTCGACAGAAAAACTGAATGACAGACCAGCTGAACTTGTCAAAGTCTCCCCTTGTTGCCTCTCTTTCGTACTTCTCTCATTCAAACATGCAGCACGCGGTGTTAAGGAGATTACTGCGAGTCGCCATCTGGCCAGCAGCGCTGGAGGCGGCAGGATACTGGGCGCAAAGTAAGTAACGGTGAGGCGGCGTTACAGAGTTGAGAGCCAGGTAACGGGAACTTGAGAGCCCAGGGGACGGCGGGAGAGAAAACACTGCGACATATCCGTTTTGCATCTGTTACAGACCACTAACGAAGTGTCTATGACAGCAAGGCATTAACATGCAATTTACAAAGCTTAATAATACCCCCTGCCTGGCAGTAATGCTGTACCCCCTCCTACGTGGGATGCGTCTGGGTTTCAGACAAGTGGCTCTCAGAGAAATGAGGAACGCTACTGCCGTTGCTAGGCAACGGTGATCCTCTCCGGCCAAAGACAGTGTGAGGAGGAGATCATAAAATATCAGTCAATACAAAATTAAAAAAGAAATAGGCTACTTCATCGCCATGTAGGGGTGCAATGTATAATGTCACTGACGACAGTGCTTTTAACACATATTATGCAAGACTGTCCAATACATGTTTTAATAATCTGCACTTTAAAGTAATGGAGCTAAACCAACTCCAAATAAAGCTTCGTAGCCTATTTTGTTTTATTGTTTTATTAAGCTTGTATAAGCAAGAGAGAGTAATTAAGAAACAAGAATCTTTTTAGCACCGATGAACCAAGGGAACAATTTGCATAAAAACAAGAAAAAAACAAAAACAAGAATCAACCATAAAATTATAACATTGAGAAACAAAAACCCATTTCACAGCACAAAACCAAGGGAAATGAAATGCATTGTGTTTCTTTCTACAAAACAAAACAAAAAATATATAAATTGTCAAAGGGGGAATGTGCAGCTGAACTGAAATCAAGTCAAAGCTCAGTATACTGATGGCCCCTGTAGGCCAGGCTGCTGAAACAAACAGTCACACATAGCTGAAATGAAAGACGCTCATTTTAAAGAATATTTCAAAGGGGGTACTTTACTATGCAGGATTTCCATAATGAGAGGCAAATGAGCTGGCAAGGTGTCTTTCCTTGTCAGCAGTTTAATGGCAGTCACCAGGGAGGCACTGCTATGTGTGCTATTAATTGGGTCTTGATAACAATTAACCACACATTACTAATTACAGTACATGTCTGTGAAGAGATGTATGTTGAAGTGACACAACTATAAATGGTAGGCCTTGCGTTATGGTTGATGCTTATTTTTTAAATATATTAGTCTGAATTTGGTTTGTGTGAAAATCATATAATCAAATGCATTTACAAAAATGATGTATAAACAAGAGAAACATATAACCATTAAATCTCATGCGTCTTATATACTTGACCTGACCTTTATTTCTTTGTTTTACTTCAGTTGTATAACACAACTGATTTCAAGCAAATATCTGGTAACCTAAGCCAGTTACATGCATCAATCCTCTAGTTTCATCAAGCTGAACATCCGGTAGCAAAATATAAACAATCCCATCAACACACACAAAGCAGAAGCACTAGCTCAAGTATACAGTCGTTTAGACTTCCACTGTGTGCTTAAGCGCTCAGAATTTAAATTGTGTAAACATTTCCACCAAAAAAGGCCCTCTCTTATATTTTTCCCTGCCGACAAGTTTTAACGTTATCATACTAATCGTGTTTGAACAGCTGCAATTTGCTTTGGTTGAACAAAGGCATCTAACTAGGTTTTAATTAAGTGTTCCTAATGACCTTAAGGAGATTAGAGGTTCGCCTTCTAATCAATACCAGGCAGAGAGGAGCAAAGGGAGGGGAGAGGAGGAGAGGGGAGGTGGCTAGGGGCTAGGATAGAGGTAGGGAAGACAGAGGTGGAGAAGGGGAGTAATAGTAAAAGAAAACTAGGGGAGGAGAGAAGAGGAAGTGGATTAAGAATAAAAAGGATTTGATCAGAAATATTGTTAAAAAATAAATACACAAGAACCTTAAAGAATACAAATGAGTAATGAGTGCAGATTGTGACCAGGCTTTCTTCAGTGGCTAACAACATTAGTATATTTTAAATGCTTGTAGGCATCAATAAAACAAGCAAGTGACGGAGATGGGCAGCCCAGCTCTACAAAAGGAAAATAATTCACATATACAACTAGATAAAGAAGTTTGTAACCCTGCCTTTTTGTATTAGTAGCCACATTTCCCTCATTTTATTTCCTTTCCTTTCCTCTGAGAGGGTGAAAATGACATCGCTCCACTGTGTCAGATAGAGGCTATGATCATCAAGAGCTTTTGTTATCCAAGAAGAGTTTCTCTTATCCCCTCCTCATAAGACATTTGCATAGATTTGCACAGAGTGTGTCCACATGACAGAGAATCTAGTCATACATTGATTGTACTAATTTATTCAGCCGGGCACATTCAATTCCAGAGATTGAAGTGCTATCACACAAACGGGATTAAAACCGGATGACGATCGCACAATTAATATTGTCTCATTTTCTAAATTACTTATGTATGACTTATATTTGACTAAATTGTGTTTGCTGGTCTAATAACATTAAGAGTAATATGGTAAATGTGGGCTGTAAATGTATTGTCTCTGTGAGTCTCCAGAGCAGCATGAATATGTATGGAGACATCCTTGGCCTCGCTGCTGATTACGAGAAGTGGAATAAATTGATGGTAGGGCTGTGTGTTTTCTAGCAAAATACAATATTAGGTTCTCCATATGGAAATGTTATACACACACACACACACACACACACACACACACACACACACACACACACACACACACACACACACACACACACACACACACACACACACACACACACACACACACACACACACACACCCACACACACATACATTTTTTAGGCCTGATTCATGAGCATTACTTAAATAACAGCATAGTGTTGAGTGCAGGCTTGTGGCTGCCATTGATTTCAGTTTTCTTTGCGTGTGTGCACATGTGTTTGTGAAAGTAAATTAGCATGTTTACATACTGTATGTGCATGAGGCTTAACGTGAATCGTGGAGCTTTTGTCAAAAGTAAAACAAAAGTTTTGTCTATATTCTGTTTTTTTCACCAAAATGTATTGTGTATACCCCTGAGGTCAAATACACCTTAATTCATGCTCTAACATATTCTGTACATTGTTCTAGATTTAAATATATTAAATATATGGAATATTTCTCATTGAATTCGGAACTTAGTTTCAAGTAAAATGATGGAGGAAAAAAGTTGTTTCTTTTCCATATAAACACTGACTATGTTTACATGCATGAGTAGTGTGATGAAGTCAATTATTTGATTTAACTGGATTCCAGTTTGCGATTGGCATTGAGTATGAAGTTTAATTTAAAAACAAAACCATCATCTTCAAATTATATTTCCTTGATTTGTTTCTTACTTATGTATGTGCTTGTATATTTCAGCTTTTTAAAAAAACATTATAGTGTATCATGATATCTGGATATATGATTTAATCTCGATACGATTCCAAGGCATAAATTATCATAATGTCGGCTCACAACAAAAAATCATGAGAGGAGCTTTACCCTGCAAAAGTGATATTAATACTGTATTCAGTATCCAGGCCTTATGCCCTGTAGGCCGTGATACTAATAAAGAGAACCACATGACTGAAATCTGAAACACTTCGGCAGCGCTTTAGGATCCAGCATCACTATGACTGCTCGAAACATTCCCTTAATTTCCTTTTTCACACAAAAACTGGAATAGGCAACATTTCTCACATCTGTCTTCATACTGTAGTCTATCGTTCACATTTAATTTACACTAGCTTGCATCAAATATGCATAAACATCAAATCTCACAAACACCGAAGCAAAATGCTTAATTGGCAACTCTGCTGACTGAAGACGTACACTGCTGTGCTGGTGTAAGGTTTATTTAGGCTATCTCTTCCATTTTCCTCTGCCACTTGCGTCATCCTGCTGTCTAAACTCTATTTTGGTCACTTCTGTCCTCCACTCTCTCCCACACATCCCTCTCTCCACAGGCACCACTCATTCTTT